AATATGCTTATGTTCTTATCGTATCACTCAATGCAGCATTTGACAAAGTAAGCTGGAAATTTCTGTTTGCAATATTTAAGAAATGTGGATTTGGAGAATCATTTATCAGTTGGATAAGAGCGTTAACCATTAACCAATGGGTTAATTACACAAAGCATTACTCTTCACACTGGTGCCAGGCAAATATGTCTCTCTCCATCGCTATTTGTGTTATTCTTAGAACAGCTAGCTGCTACTATAAGACAAAATGGCAATATTAAAGGTATTTCAATGTCTAATACACAACAAAATTGTCCATTTCACAGGGAAAGAACCTTCTATTAGATTATATACCCTAAGAAAAAAAGTCACCTGCTCTCAAACAGAAATCAGCTGAGTTCAATAAAAACTGGTCCATTATCATCACTAAAATAATGTATGCTACTGCCTGATATATCTTAATTATTTTTTTCCTCTCTCCTCGTCTCCCATTTCACATCCTAATCACCTCTAACCACCTTTGATTCCCCCTTGTACACAAACAAAAATACAAAAACGCAAAACCTTTTAACCTGATCACCAATCCACTTATAAACAGGCTTTCTTCTTTGGCTCTGGGGGCTAATCTAAAGGGGGCCATACTCAGGGTTCTCTCCAATCAGGTCTGGGGGCAGCCCAGAGCTCTATGGTCCTAACTCCAAAAAGGAAGAGAGCAGTGGGTGCCAGTGGCTTGGGATGTAGAGCAGATTGTCCAATAAACAGAGGGCTGGTGGTTCGAATTCTGCTCCATACCAGTAGTATTATTACCAGTCATTCAAGACTTCAACACTGGTGTGAGTGGGTGAATGAACCAAGTAAAGCACTTTGAGTGTTTAGAAAAGAGCTATATACGAACTAGTCCATTTACCATTTACCAAAAAGGAGGGGGCGTATGAAAGGAAAGAGAAAAAGACCTTTCCTACCCTGCAGGTAAAGCCTTTGAATCATCCCTCCAGCTTATTTTAGCACCGCTGTGAGCTATTATATTCTTCTTATAACGATGTTATTGTTGTCATGGTCATGACTGTTATTGTTCATAGCTGGTCATTGGTCACACTTATGGCTGTCATTATCGTCATTATTATGATTATTGGTGATGATGGTGATAATACTGGGTTAATGTTGCTTTAACTATTATTATCATTATTGTTATAATTGTCTCCTAAATTACATTAATCCTGGACGAATTAACACGTCACGCTCACTTCACTCTCACTACTCACAATCACACTTGTATTATTTTCTTCCAACTCTTATATCTTATCATAGTAATAATTATTATTATCATGATAATAAAAAAGAAAGTAGTAAAAATAAAGGAAAATCATTAAATAGGAATGTGTGTCCAAACCCTTGACTGGTAGTGTATATTTCTGGAAGTCACTACTTTGAGATAAGCTGCTAAAGGTGCTAGTTTGATATATTGATAGTCAGAGTAGAAAAATGTATTTAAACCCTGAGTTCACCTGAATTGCAATTGTAATTAGTTGCAATTGTAAATTACATCTGCTGAAAGAATAATTCTATTATAAAAAGTGCATCAAATTATATTAAAAAACTAGTTTTTAGCTTAAACTTCTTTTCACCAAATCAAGGACAGGAGTCTTAAAACTTGACAGACAAAGTTTAAAGAAGATTCAGTTTATCAGTTAAACTTGACTGTTGCTTTCCTCTGTCCATATTATCCAGTTGGACCATTATCCAGTGTCCACATATACGCTGCCTGAGGCCTCTGACACCCAGTTCACTTTGGTCAAAAGTATCTTTCTTGGCAAAGTCTTTGGTGAGTCTAGAGATTTGTGTGTGTGTGTGTGTGTGTGTGTTTATATAGCTCCTGTTTTTGCATGACTGACTCCATGAAGGGATGCTGAGTGATGTTCTATGATCTGAATATTGTCCTATTTATTCTTGTACCAGTCACTTATTAACTTTTTTGTGTGCCTGTTTTCCTACCTGAAATGATGAGCTTCTAGTTCTTAGAATCCAAATATGTTTTGTGTTGAAAAAAATAAAATAAAAATGAAGTAAAAAGTTGAAATGGCATTTAGCTTTTACTGTTTCTAATATCATTAGAGCAACACTACAGGGTGGGCCATTTATATGGAT